GGGGGGGAGGTGGCTTCTTCTTCGTGGACCGTCCACAGAGGCCACCCACTGCGCTCCAGGCTGCCTGCTCCCTCCCCTCCACTGGCAGAGCTCAAGGGAGTGAAGTGCTCCATGCCAACCAGACAGCACTGGCAAGGAGTGCAGACCTGGTGGTAAAATGCAGGCACGTCAAACACGGAAAAGGCAGGCATCGGAGTCCCGGGACTCCCTGGGTCTCCCCATCCTTGTGGTGGTTGCAGGGGGTGGTGGGGCTGGGGAGGGGGGCTAAGCAGGCTGCCCCTGAAATGAGGACAGCCCTGCCATGCCATTTCAGGATCAAGACGCAGCGAAGGCGAGCTCTGTGAACCTCAGCTGCGCCTCCTCCTGGACCCGGGGGTGCTGCGGCTAAAGGAGGAGGGGGCGGGGTAACTCTGAAGCTCAGCCTCAGGGAGGTCCTCACAGTGTCTGCTTGCTGCCCTGTTCAGAGAGCGCCAAGCCGCCATCGAAGGGGCAAACGCCTGCAGCGAAAGGCTCTAGGTTCTCTGCCTCTCCTTAGCTTTGCACCCCGCCCCCCCATCCTTCTAGCAGTCCGGGGGAACAGGACCCTGTGGCACTGTGCAGCAAGTCAGGAACAGAGTGGTTGGCAGCATTCCTAGACTGAGCACAGAGAGGCCCAGTGATTTCCCCAACAAGACACCCTGCGGGCACTCTGTGTGGGGCTGGAGGAAGGGAGGGAGAGAGAGATGACCCATCGGGCTCAGGGTTGAACCACCACTAGGACCATCCAGAAAGGCAGCGGGTCAAGAACACAGCACACACCCTTCCTGCAGCGCAACGTCCTTTATTGGCGAAGGGATACATGGGTGACCACGGAGCAGCCCACCGCAGCCCAGTGGCCATGCCAGAGGCACTCAGGGGCTGGAGGTGGGAGTGGGAGCTGGGACCGGCGTCCACCTCCACGTTACACGACTCGGGCCTCCCCCGAGGTGGCTCCGACAGACTGTTAGGCCACCTTCCACACTGCCCTCTGACAAGAAGCTCATCCAGACCAACTTACCTGCCGGGTCTGAGAATTCTGGGAACTCCAGTACCTGGGGTGGCAATACAGGGGGCTCTGGGAGCTTCCGGGACTTAAGCATGTCTAGTTCTGCCTGGAGTTCCCGCACCTTCTTCTTGAGGCGGATACAGTTGGGGCAGAAGGAGGTGGTGGGGAGCTCCTGCGGGTCAGATGCCAGGGAGGCCTCGGCGGGACTGTCGGCCTTGAATGATGAAGGCTCCTCCTCTTCCTCCCCCAGGGGGCCTGGTTCCTTGCAAGCCCCCTGGGGGAGCGTCCAGGCCCCTTCCCCCTGGGTCCGGCTGACGTTCTGGGCGCCATGGGACGCGGTCGACGCACACCGATGGTAGGCATCGTCCTGGTACTTGGGAACCTTCCGGATGACCAGGGAGGTGCTCAGGGCCAACTGGTGGGCTTCGACCTTGGCCGATTCCAAGGAGGCCTCCAGTACGTCCTTGAAGATGAGGTCAATTTTCTTCTTCTTGGCCTGGGGGGGCGTGTCCCCTTCGTCAAAACCACGCTTGTAGGGACTCTTGCCCTGTCTCAACATGGGGAGCTGCATGGAGCCCCTCAGGTCTTCTGGGCTCTCCAGAGCCTGCTCAGACTTCTCCCTCTGCAACCTCTTCTCTCCTAGGAAGGAAAACCAGGGCATGAGGAAGTGGGGAAACCCCCAAACCGACAGCAAACACAGCACGCCTCCTCTCGGGAAGCCACTCCACACACCCCTTTGCGGTTGGCCTTGGGGCTGTTACCTTAAGGGAGGGCGAGGAGTGGCCTGCCCAGAGCATCATGGGAGCTAGAGGTGCACGGCCCGCAAAAGTGGACAGCACTATTTCCCAGGAGGCGATTTCTACAGAGCCTTCAGTCTGTGCGCTCTACTCTTGGACGCTCAGAGAATTCTACTGAGGAGGGTCCCTAGCATTCGCTTCCAAGGCGCTTCCCATCCGGTGACCCGAGAGGACAAGGGTCCACCCCATCCAACCGGGCGGCAGGTCACACACCTCATGGTGTTGCCTCGGCCAACCCTCCAGCCTGTCTGTCAGTCCCAGCAATCAGACAGCTGCTTCGACTTGGTAAAAGGTACACAGGAGACACCAGGAGTCCCACGCCTGCCTCCCTGTTTGCCCAGAGACGGCCCCCGAGGGCACAAAAGCCTGCCCTGTGGGAATCCTCCCAACAACTGGGAAGCCCTGAGCTTGGCACCCCCACGGCGCCCACTGACCACAGAGGCCGGAGGACAAGAGATGACAGGGGTATGTAAGGTTTCAGGATGGAAGGCCCAAAGCCTTCCTCAAGGATAGCTGGGTTCCTCACCTGACCACGGGTGTTGTAGCTCCTCTTTCTCACTATCATGTGGAGGACTTTAAACCTCTGAGCTCGGGGAGGTGCAGGCAGAAATGGCTTCAGCCTGACAAACCTCTGCAAACGGATGTCCCGATGGTCCCCAGGAAGGCAGAGGCATCTCTTCAGCCCCGGGGGGTTCTCAGAAGCCCAGAAATCTCAAAGGGAGCTCAGATCAAGGCCAGGGGCCCTGCGTGATGCGACCCCCAAGTATCACGCGTGACCTGAATGCATGTTGTAATCGGCATCTGATGGCTGCACCTGCTAAGTAAGGGCTTCTGCATGAGGGCCAACCTCCCCGAGCAATCTCGACGTTTGTCCCACGCAGTGACGGGCCCTGGCTTCCCACCGTGGGCACGGGGTGCTGTGCTCTGCCCCATGTTTCACACCGATTTCCAACACGGGACAACACATGGATGCTTAGGGAGCAATCTCACCTCCAAAGCTCCCCAAACAGCTGAGAGGCGGAAAGGGGAAGGAGGAAGGCCATTTTTTCAAACAACGTGAGCTGATCTTAACAGAGCAACGGCAACGTTTGCCCATTCGGAATCTCTCCAAAACAAGGGCCACCCTCTCCCGCTGTCGCTGACCAGGCAGGCAGAAGAGAGCTGAGGTTGCTAAAGGGTCGGGGCGACCCCTTCCCGGGACTCCTCCTGCCCCCCTGCTCTTCAACAAGGATTTCCAAACCTTCTAAAGGGAGTGGAGGGGTCTCTTTGGATTTAAGACTTCCAGAAAAACCTATGGGCCAAAGAAGACCTTTGAACATTATGAAATGGATCCCAAAGCCTCCAGGAAATATGGAGGGGGGCTGGTAGGGGGGACACCCAAACCTCACAACATCGATGGCATGACAGACGTCTTCTGAACGGAAGGCCTGGGTGCTTGGAGCAGGTGCGTTTACGAGAGCGGGCCCAAAGGGATGATGTACGTTCTCGTCAGGGGGCAACAAGAACATCCGGGTCCAGCAGATGCTGCTGCTCAGTAAATGTTCAGACTTCATGCCCGGCGCTTTGTCAGGGCTCCGGCCGACAGTTACGAGGCCCCCTCTTCCAGGTCAAACCGTGAGTGACTGGCCTGAGCAGTCTTTCTTCTGGAGTGGCACAGGCGTCCCCAGGGAGGTGCGGGGCAAGGGGGTACAGCCCACACCAGTGACACCATCAGAGGGTGCCACCCAAAGATGGGCACAATGTGTGCATTGTTTCTGCAGAAATGCATGACGTTCTTTGAAAGCAGCCCTGTCGCTGTAATGGGGCAAACTGTGCTGCTGTTGCTGTGAGCCCAGCTACAGGAGGTCCTGTGTCCGCATGGCCGAGCCTCTGTGCTCAGTGATTTTCTGAACCTTCTAGTGCATTCTGGTCAACGTGGTCTTTGCGTCCCAACTAGAGGGACGCCGCGGTTCACGTGCCTCTGTCTGCGCGCCCTGCGATGATCGTGTGCATCATTTGTGTGGCCACTGGCATCTCTACAACCACCGACTTGCGGCAGTTAGTGTTCGAGAAGCTACGTCAGTAAGATTCCCTCCCCCCCTTTTTGAGAACGAATGTGGTTGCTAATAACGTTGTAATTCAATGTGGAAAGATTTTATAAAATGTTTTTGCTGTTAGTACTTGAACTTGTATCATCTAAGAGATAATACCACGTAGGCAACTTACTATGGGAGAACGTACGTAGTTAACTCTGATTAAAACCAGTCACGAGCCTTACTCGGGATTCTGTGTGGGCTGGTACAGACGGAGATCTAGATGGGGGCTGGGGGGTGGCTGAATGGCATCATGAGATGCTGGGCTGGGCGGCACCAATCCCAGTGACTCCCCCACAGAGCAGGGCTGGCACACCAAACTACAGAACAACTTAAGTTCCCCCGAGCCTGCCAAAACCACCAGCTACACAGCCATGCCTCTCAAGACCACTGAATTCCATGAGCACTCCCAAGGGCTCCAGGCCAAGCCCACCCCAGCTCTGGCCCCACTCCGCCAGCTGTGGCTTTCCTGCCTGGTCCCCTTCTGCCGGGTCTGGTCAGGAACAGACACTCCCTCCTCCCGGCTCTTCCCATGTCTTCTTGCATCTCCTTTTGAGTCTGACTGCTACACCTCCTTCGGCCCTGCCTGTAAGCTCACCCCCCACCTCTGAGTATTTCCCCCTGGGATCAGGGCTTGTGGGGTGACGCAGCCTGGGTGCTCTGTGGAAGACGCTGGGCAGGGGGCAAGAGGACATCACCAATCCCGAAAAAGTCAAGTTGACAATGGCCAGCGGACGAGACCTGGGCTCTCAGCTGTGACTCCGGTTGGTTTCCTTTGCAGCGGGCGGTCTGATTGTTCTGGGGTGTCTGGGCTGTCGTCATCCCCTCCTCCTTCCATTCATTCCGTGGGGGCGTGCTGCGCAGCCACCGTGGGCCAGACACATCTTCTGAGGCGCCTCCAGAGGACAAACGGAGAGCAGGGCAGCCTCATGGTGGAAACATGCCTTCGCACGGGAAACCAGCTCGAGCCCAACCTCCGAGCCCCAGAGGGTGCCCACTGGGCTGCCCCTCACTGCCCATCCAGCCACAGAGACCTTTTACCAAGTCAGGGAGCTGCTGCGCACTTTGTGCCCACCGTCTGCTTGGTTCTCTTTTGTTTCTAAAGAGAGTGCAATGGCCAGGGGGCTCCAAAGCCCCTCTCATCTCTCCACTCCTGTGCCAAAGGGCTTATGTGACTGGGGACACGCTATGTTGGGGCTCAGGCATGTGGACTTTTGAGGGTTTGGAGGCCAGCGGACAACCAATGAAAGACGGTGGTGGGCTGACCAGTCTGCCCACCTTTCCAATGGGCGTTGCGATTGGGGACACGCTATGCTGGGGCTCAGGCATGTGGACTTTTGAGGGTTTGGAGGCCAGCAGACAACCAGCGGTGGGCTGACCAGTCTGGCCAGCCAGGCGGAGGATGGAGGGCATGAAGGGGCATCAGACTAAGGGACTGGGCAGTATGGGAAACCCAGGATGCCTTTAGATCAGTCTGAGCCAGCAGACCCCTGTCCCCAAGGCTCCCAATGGTCACCAGCCCATCTCCCAAACACCTCCCACCTTCTTCATAGAAATGGTTCTTGTGCCTCACAGTTTGAGCCAGCACTGAGCAGACGGGAGGGAGCAGGGAAGAGACCAGGCTTTGTCTAGCAGGTCCTGTATCTGAGTCATGCATTGCCTTCAATTCTGACTCATAGTGACCCCACAGGGCAGAGCAGAACTGCCCCTGTGAGTTTCTGAGACTTTAACTCTCTACAGGAGCAGACAGCCTCATCTTTCTCCCAAGGAGCTGCTGGGGGTGCAAACTGCCGACCTTGTGGTTAGCAGCCCAACCGTGACCCAACGACACCACCAGGGCTCCCAGATCCCAGAACAGTGAGCAGGCCCTGAAGTCCAACCAACATGGCCTTGAGACCTAGCTGGGCGCTTCCTCTCCTTACCACCCTGGGTGAGCCACTAGCCAGTGGACCCCAGGAGAATCCACCCGGGGTCCTTAGTGGTACGCGCTTACCACCGAGCACTGACACTGGTCAAGGTGAGCATCGTTTTACAGGTGCCGTGTGCATCGCCCCACCTGGTCCTCAGAGCACACTCATGGTACAGGTGCTAAAGTCGGGATGATCACATGGACAAAGGCAGACAGCCTGCTGAGGGCTGGTGAGACCTGGTGTGATGGCCGCCATGATTCTGGGAGCCCCCAGACAACAGCAGTTTGTGTGGCGGATAGGGGGTCAGGTTTGGTTGGACCTTGGCTTTGTCTCAGACCCTGCTGCTGTCTCCCCTGCCCTCCCCCCCCCAGGCCGTGCCTCGGCCGGCACTCGTTCAACACTCACCTCGGGTCAGGTTGCGGTGGATGGTCTCCTGGGACATGCTGTGCAGACGCTTCATGTAGTCCTGGCCGTACCAGACCCGCAGCCGCTCCCCGGGCCGGATGTCCCTGCATGCTCGGAAGTAGATGTGCTCGCTGTGTTGGAACGCCAGCAGGTTCTGCTCCCTCTCCTCTCGGCAGATGACCACGTACCTGGGGGCGAGGGGGACAGGTGAGAACCGTGGGCCACCCTTCCTGGGTGGAGTGCCTGCCAGGGGCCAGACCCCATACTGGACACTCCCAGACGCTTGGGCACCTGTCAAAGGTGGCAAAGCCGTACTGTCTTGTGGAGGGAGCAGGCCACCTCCCCGAGGTCCCCACTGCCTGGGAGCGCAAGCGCGTCTCTAAGCCACTCGGATTCCCTGTTCTGAGGTGTGAAGTGACACCTGAGCTGCTGGGTTCACACCAAAGCCAGCGGCCCGTCCAGGTGGCGTGCACACCTGGCCACCCGGGTGTGCCCGCCCAAGTGGGCCCGGGTGTAGATCTGCACTCCACGGGCTGCCAGGGGCTGGTTTTCTCAGAAACAGGTTGCCAGGCCTTTCTTCTGAGGCACCTCTGGATGGAATCAAACCTCCCAGGGAGCGGCCAGATGCCGTAGCCATTTGTTTACATCACCCTGAGACCCCTCTAAACTCATTCTAACTCACGGCGACCCTGTAGGACAGGGTAGAACTGCCCCGGTGTGTTTCCTTGGCTGTAACTCTTTATGGGAGTAGAAAACCTCATCAACCTCCCACCGAGAGGTTCTTGGTTTCGAACAGCTGCCCTTGCAGTTAGCAGCCTGATGTGTAATCACGACGCCACGGGGACCCCGGGTATAAAATGTGACACCAGAGATAAAGGAAACGTTAACGATTGCTTCCTCCAGGCTCCACAGTTCACTGCGGGGATCCCCAGACACCACCGGCTGACAAAATCCAGCAGACATAACCCACAGATCAGGGCTGCCCAAGAGATCATGTACCAGATGCTAAACATCAAAATCACTCAAAATCGGGGGTCTGGTGGGGACAGGAGAGGGCCGTAAGTCTAAGGAAAGGTGGAAACCACTGGCCGACCGACTAAGTCATGTTTCTCACAGCTGAGAGTCGATCCCACATGTGGCCACCCTGCGGGACAAAGCAGAGCTGCCCCTGTGGGGTCCCTAGACAGTGACTCTTTCTGGGAGTAGAAAGCCTCGTCGTTCTCTCTCAGAGCGGCTGGTGGTTTTGAACTGCTGGCCTTAGGTTCACCAGCCCAACGCATAATCCACTTCACCGCCAGGTCTCCGAGTCACGTTTGTTGTGGTGGTGAGGTGCTGTGGAGTCAGTTCTGACACACAGCGGCCCTGTGTGCAACAGAACAAAACAGCGCCCAATCCTGGGTCACCAGAAGACCTGTCTAGGATAGGATCGGGGAATTGGGCTCAGAGAGGCCCATTCACTGGCCCAAGATCACACAGCTAATAAATGGAAGGAGAAGGCGAGGCCATTGTTCTCCCGACACTGCGGGCGTGCGCAGCACCGTGCAGCCAGCAAGGCCCAGGTGGCCTTCAACGTTCTCGCCATCTGGTGACTCGATGGCCCGCACCTATTCTCCCCGTTCTAAGGCCACCTGAGGCCATGGGCGAGACCAAAAGCGTGAACAAGAACAGGATGAGCCCGCTGCCGCTGGGTCCGTTCCAGCCCTCTGTGGGGCACCGAGGACTACATCTTTACAGAAGCAGACAGGCTCATAGTCCGTCCTCAAAGTGGCTGGTGTGTTTGCCCTGCTGACTTTGAGCTATTTGCCTACACCACCAGGGCTCCTCACCTGCTGCCTCAACCACCTCCAAAAAGTTAGCAGATGCCACGTTTGCCAACAGGTAGAGGTGGGCAGTTCAAAAGGGTGAGGAGAAATGACTTGGGGGTCTTAGAGTTCTGCACGATGCGGCGTCTAAGAAACAAGACAGCTAGAGTTCCCTTCCTTTCCTTCATGCTGTGCATTGTGCCCAAAGCCCGTGATGGAATGAAAGCCTGTGGCTGGCGTGGCCCACGTCACACCAGGGAAACAGTACTTCACAGGAAACCCCACTGGAGAATGAGCACACATCGCATCTTCGACATCACCAGCAAAACGCCGGGTAGCGTGTTCATCTTACAATAAGGTGACCAGATTTTAACATTGGTAAAGCGAGACAAAAGCGGGACCCCGTGGATAAAACTCATATCCTGGTGAAATAGCCACATGGCAGACGAAAACCATATACCCTAGTTTGTCGTGCATTCTTTCCAAAAATCAGGACTTTTTGAAAACGCCGTGGGACGTGGGAAAAATTGTTAAAAATCGGGACTGTCCCGCTTTTGGCGGGACATCTGGTCACCTTACCTTACAAACAACACAAACTCACAGTCATTGAGTTGATTCTGACTCATAGTGACTCCATAGGACAGGAAGAACTGCCCATGTGGACCCTAACTCTCTGTGGGAGTAGAAAGCCCCATTATGATCATTAGTTATCCTCGTCCATCACCGTCCTATCCCAGAGAAAATGGTGAAATGGATGTTGGTGTGCCGGAAGGCCACACGGTCACAGGAGAACGTGTTTCCCAAGAGTCTTTGGTGATGAGGGAAGATGGAGCTGATAGAAGGGACACAGAGAGAGGACACGGGGCTGAGAGTCACTTACACCACGGCCTGAACCGCAGTGCTGGAAACAAGCCCACATAAACCACTTGAAGAAACACCCCACCATGATCGCCGCGACCACCCACCGTCATCTTTGTAAATATTGGTCCCTCCCAGGTTTTCCTCCTCCAGCAATTTTGAACAGTTAGCAATTAGCCCATCAGCCCATCAAAGTAAAAGAAGACAAGATCAAGGTACAGAGGAGGAAAAAAAACAAAAACCCACACATCAATCCCGGTGCCAGGAGGCAGCAGGGGCAGGGACAGCACACAGAAGACCCCCAAAGGCTGGGGTGGAGGGTCCCTTTGCCTCCAAGGGTCCATGTGGGACCAGAGGCGATGGATCCTGTCTGCCGGGGAATGAGGAGAAAGGAGGAGGGGAGAATACGCACATGCTTTGGGCTTTGGCTCTTCTTCCCCTTGAGAGATGGGGGTGACAGGTTCCCCACTGGGTAACCCACAAGGTTTCTGGTGCTTAGATCCTCCCACCTAGCCTCTCTTCCCCTCCAGGATCTTAGCTCCGACACATCTGGGCCCTCGTCAGCAACCAACTCAGCCATTGGCGTCCCTGAGCCGTGAAGACGAGTCCATGGAGTCCCAAGAAATGGAGGGAGAGGGAACAGAGTCACCCGTCTGAACCACAGGCCGCCCCAGGGTTACCACTCTCCCAAACACCAAACTCAGGGCCATCACTCACAGTGACCCCACCCGGCAGTGTAGAGCTGCCCTTGTGACTTTCCGAGACGGTAACTCCTGAGAGGAGTAGGAAGCCCCACCTTTCGTCGGGGACGGGTCCTACTTCCCCTTCAATATCGTGCACATTTGCCTCACCGGGGAAGGATTAAACCGACCACGACTGGAAACGATGGGCAGCTTTTAAGTCATCGAAAGGGACTCAAGTCTCTTGCACTAAAACCAGGCATGGCAACAACCACAGAAAACCCACTGCCATCCACTTGATCCCGACGCGGAGAACCGGGTAGAATTGTTCACCAGGTTTCTGAGGCTGGGAATCTTTGTGGAAGCAGGTCGCCTCATCTTTTTCCTGCTGGTGGCTTTGAACCACTGGCCTTGCAGTTAGCCGCCCATTACTTAACCCACTATGCCACTGGGGGTCCTGTATGGCACTAACCCCCCAACCCAGCTCAACTCAGCCCACAGAGTGGATTATACAGGGCTTCAGAGGCTGTGAATCTTCGAGGAAACAGACAGCCTCATCTTTCTCCTGCAGAGCAGCCGGTGGGTTCAAACCACCTTCCTGTGATTGGCAGCCCCACGTTTACCCGCCAGCCCCACAAGGGCTCCTTTCCCTGAACTTCACATGCCCCTCTCTCGCTGTCACCGGAGTCCATCCTGACCCACGGCGGCCCTAGAGGGCGGACGAGAACTGCCCCTGTGGGTTTCCGAGACCGTCGCTCTTTACTGGAGAAGCGAGCCTCCTCTTTCCCTGGATGGGAACCGTGGTGGGGTCGAACTGCTGACCTGGTGGTTAGGAGACCAACATGCCACCGGGGTGCCCTTCCTGCAGTAAAGTTAGGAGCAGTAAGAACTGTGTGCACCTGTGCTCACCGACCTGCAACACAGATGTACTGTAGTTAGGAACCCATCTCATTTGTCACCCAAGGGCTGCCTGCGCTCCCTTCCCACGGGCCTGCCCGCCGTCCTCCGCAGCCCAGCGTTCTTCTGGGAGTGCCAGGTGTTTCCCAGCTCCCAACTGAAGAAGAGCCTGGGATCTGACCCCGACTCTGAGTAATCAACTTAATGAAGCCACACAGCGAGAGAGACCAAACCCACGGCCGACAAGTTGTCTACAGCTCAGAGTCAGCTGACATCGGGTTTTGGAGGCAGCAAACTTTTTATGGAAACAGACAGCCTCAGCTTTCTCCCTCGGAGCAGCTGGTGGGCTTGAACCACCAGCCTTGCAGTTCGCGGCCCCACGCCTACACAACAGTGCTACAGGAACGCGGCAGAGCCAAACCCGCCCCTCCCCGCCCCGCCACCATTCATTCATCTTTCTACACTGGAGGACCCCTTGGGTCACAGAGCACAGTAAAACAAGTCTCTCCCGGCTCCTGCCTCCTGTTTCCCAGATTCTGAAGAGCCTCTGGCTCGGCTCGTGGGCACTCAGCTCCAAGGGACAAAAACAGAGGAGGGACCTTAATCCAAACAGCCTCCTCTGGAGAATGGCAAGGGGCTGGGAAAGATCCAAGGTGGTTCCCTGTCGTCTCCCTGGGCTTTCCTGCCCTGGGAGCCTTAGTCCGCAGGAGGACCCGGGGTCCTTGTGCGGATGAGGAAGCCTCTTCCACACGGCAGACCCGAGCGCGTTCACCTCCTTGTGTTGCATGGTTTGGAAACACGGTGATCACAATATGGCCCAGACCAGAGGTCAGCCAACGTCCCGCATGGAAGAGCCAATCCCATCCCTCACAACCACTTGAAAATTATTGGAGCCATCGTGTATTTTGACCAATGAAATCAGCATGATCTGAATAAGAGCCTTTAAAATTT